TGTTGTTTCGTATTTCCGAAGTGCATATTCGTGCTCCACGAGCTCGTTACACGACTTAGCTTGTTGGGGAATAACATCCTGGCTCATTCCAGATTTAGCGGAATCCTCTTCTCTCGTATATTGGCAATTTGTGTTTGCTCCACAAACAACGCCAAGGACCGCAAATAAGTGTGGTAATATATTTGTTTTGCCCCGTGTGATGATCGTGACGATCGACCAAATCAGTTTCTCTGGTTGAGACTCCTACATACCTCGTACTTTTCTCCTTTAAATCAAGTACAGAAGGGTAGGGTCTTCTATTCGGTCGATAAACATTTTAAAGCCAAAGGAGATTCACGCAAGTTTTGTGGTAAACAAATTTTGAAAATGTGGACGCCGTGTTTGTGGGCATTTCACTGCGTGGTCTCGCGCGCGACTTTCGCGTAGAGTTTTGAGAGCTCGCGCCATCGCGCGTTTTTCGAAATCAGTTTGCGGTCAAAAAACTGTAGGGAGCCACCTTAAAACTTCTATTTTGAATCGTTCTTGTTAATCTGCACCTCTTTTGTTTTGATGGCAAGGGATATTGTTTGTGTTTTATACCTATTGTTTCGTTTGGCGAATGATGATTACCCTTGTAAACGGTGCGTGGTCGCCCATATTTCAGCTAAAGTTCTCCAAACTCTTATATTACACTTGGGTGACCTGTGGAAATACCCAAACACATAAAAACTTTCTACGCAAAACAACACTTCAAAAGAAAGTTTTTACTAAGAAACGAGTTCAACTCTCATAGGAATGGTTGGAACACCTTGGTCACGGGGGGGAGGGGGAGGGACACCAACATGACCGCTGTTTCATTGCTTTGGGCCATCAATATTGCTGCCGTGATAATTTAGCGCATATAGCTGGGTTTAACTTCGCCTCTTTTTGTTCAACGATTGTATTTTTTTTACTAATTACTTAAATCTTTCCCCGATACTGAAAACGCTAACAAACACAATGTTTTAATATTCAGACATTTCGAAACTCCTAATTTACACAAGGCTAACAACTTCGTTCACGATGCATACTATTTTAAGCCGTTTTAAGAAACACAATGTCTGCTAAATATGGAACAATTCCCCGCCCCTTTTCGGAAATGTTGCGGTTACGAAAAGTTAAACAAAAAATAGCTCGCATAGGAAACATTCCCAGCCAAGACTTGAACAATGACGAGCATGTAAACAAACATGAGACTTTGAACGGCGCGAAACTTACTCAAAATTTCCATAGATTTTGTGGTTGATACGGGCATTTCACGGACAGAATGTATTGTCTTTATGAGCCTTATTGTCGAATTACCTTATATGTAAAGGAAGTCAATGGTATGAGTAATGCTTACAATGTACTAAAACATTTTGAGTGAAAACACAGAGCAGAATATACGCGCATGTGGCTTTTATGAAAATGTTGATTTTTTTGTGTGTTTTAGCCAGTGAGGAACCTTCAAGAATTATCGCCATCAATATTAATCATCTGCGACTGATGTGAAAAGTAACACTTTTAATACAATGTCTACACACGAAGGGGTTTGCAAAATCGAATTCCGAATTTTTACCTTAATGTTGCGAGATAAGTAAGTAAGTCAGGTAAGATAAGTAAGAAAACTTGGGCACTCCTCAACAGCTTCGAACAACAAAGTGCATAATTGTCGTACAGCAGCCTGGTAGATTAGAAATCAGCCGCTAACTGAGTTGACATTTATTGCGTCAGTAGGCAACATAACTGCGCTGTAATCACGCCGCGGTCCGCCTTGATCATAGGAGAGACTATGGAACTACCAAAAGTAACTACGTACAAGATACGAGATTTGACTCTATCATTTAGCCGTTCCTTTTTAATCGTCTGGAGCTTTTTCCTAGATCACCCTCGAGCTACAGCTTAAGGAACTCAGATTTTTACGTACCAAGAGTAAGAACTGTTAAGTAGGGGAAACATTCCCTTCGCTTCCTTGGGCCATTGATGTGGTCGAAGTTAGACAATAGGGACAAGAAAGAAA